TTTCATTCTTGAATGACTATTCCAGGTGACAGGCTTTGGAGAGGAAATAATGCAGAAAGATTTGGCACAGATAAGATAGAAATTGGAAATAGAAAACGCAGAAATGATTGAATGAAAGGAACAGGTGGAATCTGTATTTCAGAAGAGAAGGAAAGCTAAGGAACTGAAATGATACAGGAACTCTAGTCTGGAAGCCTAGGTTGGAATTTCCAATTGGAGTATAGGTCTTGGAAAGGGCTAGGATATTTCCTGGCAAGAAGCATAAGCAGAAAATCAGGGAAGTGAAGGGGTATGCTTGGGCAATGTTGAGTAATTAATTTATTACAGAATTCAAGTTGGAGAGAAACCCAAGTCAGGGCAGAAAAGTAAGGTTAGGGCTATTTTCCCCAAAACCTTATGATTAGAGTGAACAGACTATAATCAGCTTTGGAGAGGACACATTTTTAAGGCCTCTACCTCTTAAAAAGTTGGTAATTTTTATTAATTCTGTCACATGTCCATCTCTCCCTTAGATGCTTGGTGATATTTAATTTATAACACTAATGCTGAACAGGTTCTAGATTTAATTAATGTGTTGGCTCTTGACCACATAAATTACTGACTATATAGTTCCTTTTATGTTCATCTATTTTATTATGCTAATTTATTACTAATATTTATAGTATACTAATATTACATAATAAATACTAGAAGTGTTTACTTCACACATTATACAAACTTTAGTGGCTACATGGCTTCTGTAAGTTGTGTTGGTTCAAGGGTACACTTGTTTTAAGCAGATAAAAGTGTTTTTCTTATAAATATGTTCATTTGAACAGATATTCAGCAAGTCAAGTCTGGACTCGCTTCTGCAAATAAGAATCTATGGGAGGCTTGGCGCGGTAGCCTAGTGGCTGACGTCCTCACCTTGCATGTACCAGGATCCCATGTGGGCACTGGTTAATGTCCTAGCTGTTCCACTTCCCTCCTAGCTCCCTGCTTGTGGCCTTGGAAAGCAGTCGAGGACGGCCCAAAGCCTTGGGATCCTTCACCTGTGTGGAAGACCTGGAAGAAGCTACTGATTCCTGCTTTGGATTGGTTTAGCTCTAGCTGTTGCTGCTACTTGGGGAGTGAACCAGCAGATGGAGGATCTTTGTCTCTCCTTCCCTCTGTAAATATGACTTTCCAATTAAAAAAAATCTTTAAAAAAGAGAATCTATGGAATTGGAAAAAGAAATGGAAAACTTGGAAACAATGATCACACCCACTTTTCCCTGGCCCTCTATCCTTCCCTCCCTGATCAACTATGTAAGTAACATCTAAATTAAAATTAAAAAAAAAGAATCTATGGAATCTTGGAACTGGAACACCTTCAGCCACACGTCTGCCTCCTTTCCCCCTTTCCCTTTACTTTACAGGTTCATCCCAAGTCACAACACCTGGATGAAAATGGAGTTCGCAGGTATTTTTTCACCATCATGTCCCTCTTACACAAACTAAAAAGCAAAGCATCTGAAGCCCAACAAACATTTACAACTTAGAGGATTAATTTCATAGACCAAACCAAAATAGGTCAACGATTCCACACTTGATACACTCCTAGTTGTGGTACAGTAAGTTAATCTGCCATTTGTAATGTTCTCATCCATTTTCAAGGGTTATTTTCAATCTTGGCTGTTCTACTTTGGATCCAGTTCCACACTAACGCAGCTGGAAAGGCAGTGGATGTTGGTAGAAGGACTTGGGACCCCACTACTCAAATGGGACACCGGCTGGAGTTCCTGGCCCAGACTGGGTTTTTGCAGCCATTTGGGGCCTAACATGGAATGGAACTTCTTTCTTTCTTTCCCTTTAAATAAATAAAAACGTTTGGATTTTTTTTTTTTTTAAATATATACATCTCAAATTCAGTACTTGGGGGCCCACAGATAGTTCTAAATGATTTTCAGAGAATCTGGGGTTGGGTTATTTTTCAAACTGTATAATATGAACACTTTTACAAATTAGTCATCTTCTGTGTTACCCGCAACTGCCCAGGGTTCTGTTGCAGGCATACTGAGTTTGTGCTGTTGATTCTGGGACCTTCTCTGAGGAAGACATTGGTCTGACATCACCCCAGGCGCACACACACCAAGGACCTGATTGTGCTCAAGAGTAGCAAAAGGAATGTTCGAACTCTTTATGTTTCCAAGTAGCTTTGTCAAAATCCTGGCCTGGAGAGGTAGGAAGGGGGGGCTGGAACTGGAACGCTGCGGAACCAGAGGTGCAGGGGAACCGGGCAGACGGAACGAAAGGAGCGCGGGACCGGCAGGCCTAGCTCTGAGGCTGAGGCGGCGGCAAGGGGATGGCGGGCCTGCGGGTCCTGGAGCTGTACAGCGGCATAGGCGGAATGCACTACGCGCTGAAAGGTGAGACGACCGAGCCCTCTCCACTCGGGGACGTCCGGGGCGCTCGCGGAGCCCTGCTGCCGGAGAGGGGCGGAGCGGCGCGGCACCAGGGGCGGGGATGGCGGTGGTCATCCGGTCGTCCTGGAAAGCGCTGCGCGCCGCCCCCATCCGGCCTTGGGCGGTGTCCGCTTCCCGGCCTCCAACTTCGTCCAGCGAAGGCCTGCGAGGCCCGGTGTGTCCGTGGAGACTGTTGAGGCTGTGAAGTCACACAGAAGTGGTTCTGTGGCGGAGGGCGAGCTGTCCCAGAGTGCTAAATATGAACTCTAAGTTTGCTGCGAAGCGTGGTCACCAAGTCCTTCCTCAGAATGAAGTCCCCGCGGGGCAGGGGCTGCTGGGCCGGCCCGGGAGAGTGACCACAGTTCTGGGTGCAAGTTAGCTTAGCATGCAATCAGACTGCCTCGAGGGCACTCCTGGTTAGAAACATCCTGTCTGTTGTAGTACAAGGTTTAGATGCCGGAGGAGTTAGACGCCTTTAACAAGGGTTAAAGTTGGCTGGAGAGTGACGCTGGGCTAGTTCCTTCCTTAACACTGAAGGAGGTTTCCTTCCTGGTGTTGAAGTGAAGGGGCACTTTGGAAGGATTGTGGGGAGAATGGAATGTAGGAAGTGAAAGTGCTCATTTGTGCCAATTGCAGCCACTGTAAATCTTACAAATCATTACCTTTAGTACTTCCTACGTATCTTTCATTTTGAGATTTTTAATTTCGTGGATATGAAGTCGGAACTGAAAGTTTTGTTTTTGGTGTGTCTCAAAACTTGTTGAGGTGGGGTTCTGTGCCAGGTACTGGGAGACACAATGTGTCGTGAAAGAACTCGAACATGCGTGTTTATTCTTCAGTTGTTGGGACAACCACACAACTGAAACTTCTCCGTTCCTTTTTCTAGTTCAAGGGTAACGAGACTAACACTCTTAAGATACAGACAGTATTCAGTGGGTAGTTTTTTGTTTGTTTGTTTTTAGTAGTTGCACTTAGCTTTGATTTTAGCCTGTTAGTGAATATTAGAAGTTTATTACTCCTTTGCTGGTTTTCTGTGTTGATTTCTCACATTGATATTCAAACAACCCCAAACTTCAGAAGTGCTTGTGAATTTTGTAAGATTGTGTAATGCCAACAGTTTTGCTTGTCTTGAACACCTTAAGAACAACATCTTGAAAGGTTCTTCCTCCTTCGTTGTAAATTGCAGTTTGGCCTCTCCTTAGATGTTGAATGTTTAGGTTGTCACTTATATTTTGAAAAGCACAGTATGAAGTAACAGTTCCATCCTTGAGCATAAATCCTCATGTTGTCTGTTAAGCATGCCTTGTGGATGTTAAACTAGCTCATTGAACAGTTTTAGGCTATGTGCTAGTTGCTAAGTAAAAAGCAGAATTTCTTAAGTCTTGCAGTAGATATGACAGTATTGCTCTTCAGAGATAACTGAGTACCTCCCTCACCCACATATTCATCAGCATTACCTACTATTTATTTGTAAAGATTTATTTATTTATTTGGAAAGCAGAATGACAGTTCTACAGTATCCTGGTTTATTCCCCAAATGGCTGCATCAGCCAGGGCTGGGCCAGGCTGAAGCCAAAAGCCACTCCATCTGGTCTTCCACATGGTTGGCAGGAACTCAGCTGTTTGATCCACTATCCACTGCTTCCCAGGCACATTAACAGGCAGCCAGATCAGAAGCCTAGCAGACTGAATGTGAGCCTGCACTCCAGTGGGGGATAAGGCCTCTCAGGCGATGGTTTAACCAGCTGTGCTGCAACACCCATGCTGATATTAGCTACTTTAACATATGTTAATTTGATAAGAGACAGTGTATAATTTTAACTAACTTTTTTGTTTAATGCAACAGGTATTTTCTACTTATCAGTGCTACCTGAATTTATATACATTTTCTGTTGTCACTGCTACTATGGTAAATGTGGCTACTCTCATCTCTGACTTAAACAGTTTTCCATCTGTTCTCATTGATTCCATTCTATTATTCACATAGCAAGCAGAGTGATCTTTTGCATAGTAATCCATATCATGTGACTTCCCTGCTTAATGCATAGTTTCCCTTTGAGGTTAGAATTCTGGTCTCATTTTGGGACCAGACTTACATGATCCAGCTTCTGGTTGCTTCTTCAATTTTGTTGCTATCTCCTCGTCTCTCTTGTCCAGGCTCACTGTCCTCTGTTTCTCTGACATTCTAGCTTCCTTTAGCTTTCTAGTCTTTCCTTTTGTCATTGTCTCTACCTGGAGTACTGTAACCTTAGAGTGTTCCCCTCCAGCTCCTTTGACTTTTCATGTATTGATTTATGTGTGGCCACTTCAGAGAGGCCTTCCCTGGTTGACCTTGTTAACCAGAGAAGCCTTCCTTCCTTCTCTGTCGCTCCACTCTCTCCTGTTTTGGTTCAAGGTCTACCTATTATGTGTTTTTTTTTTTTTTACTTTTTAAAAAAGATTTTAATTGGTATATAAAAATTATTCCTTTTACGGGGTACCATACAATGTTTTGAGACATGTATGCATTTGAACAATATTTAATTCAGAATAAACATAATTATTTCCTCAAATATTTGTCTTCTATTTTGGACAAGCAAAATGTCCAAAGTCCTCTCTTCTAGCTTTTTAGAGAACAAATGAGCATATGCATATGTACATGTAGAGTCTGTTAATTGTTGTCAGTAGTCACTGTTCAGTGGAATACCAGGACTCCTTTTACCTAACTATACCCAAATTTCTGAAATTGTACCTTTCCGCATTGCCTTCTCTCCCCTTTCCTCCCTAGCTTCTGAGAACTCCCACTGTGCTTTTTAACTTCTATGAGATCACCATCTCCTAGACTCCACATTTAAGCAAGATCACATGACACTGGCCTTGCTTACTTCATTTAGTGACTCCCAAGTTCTAGCTGTGTTATTGCAAACGACACAAAAGGCAAGATTTTTGTCCTTTTTTGTGGCTGAGTAGTATCCCATTGTATAAATATACCACAGCTTCTTTATCCAATGAATGTACACTTAGGTTGTTTCCATGTTTTTGAATAATGTGAATAGCTCCGCGATAAAGCTGAGTGTGTAGATGTCTGTTTACTGATTTCATTTCCCTTGAATGTATGTAGTGGGACTTGTTAGATCATATGATAGCTTGGTTTTCAGTTTTTGAGGACCCCTCCCCCCACAATGTTTTAGTGCAGTGGCTGGGCTAATTTACATCTCTACAAGTGGCATTCAGGGTTTCCCTTTTCTCCCCTTATTGCTAGTGTTTGTTATGATTTTTCTTTTGGACATTAGCCAGTCTGAGTGAGATGATACCTCATTGTGGCTTTCATTTTCATTCCTCTAATGATTAATGGTGTTGGGAATTCCTTCATATACCTGTTAGCTGTGGGCATGTGTTCCTTTGAACACTATCTTTTTAGATTGGTCCATTTTAAAATTGCATAATTTATATTTTTGCTATTGGATTGTTTATATCCTGCACATCACTAAATTTTAATAGCTTGTAAATGTATATTTATTCGTGAACAGAATAGATTTGCTCCAAACTCACTGAATATTTTATTACAATACAAAATTTTTTTGTCCTTATTACTATGTGCAGTATGCTCTTATGGGATCCTGACACTTGCAAGGTGAGGATTTAGCCTCTGAGCCATTGTACCAGGCCCTATTTATAATTAAATAGATATCCATTCTAGTAGCATGTTGATAAAACCATGATTTGTTTCATTTCAGTTCTTTTCTTCCTTATATCTTCTTCAGTTCAGAATACACCATGTAACTAAACAGCAGAGAAATACTAAAGGACATTTGGGAGGCTTGCGGAATCCCAACACACAGGTTAGGTCATCAGGAGCGCTGCTGAAGTCACACGGCTATTCCTGGGAACTTGTCCTGTTGACAGCAATGAATATGGCTGATGAAAGAGCAGATGGGAAGGTGATTTTAGCGTAGTTTCCTGGAATAAAATGAAGAAACAGAAATTCCTATACCTGATAGACCAGGTAGGAATCTCAATAAAGGACTCAAAGTCTAGTCTGCATTTAGACTAAGGTTTGTCTGGACATGAATATGGGCCCTGACTCTTCACCCCTCTTCCCTCTTCTGGGAAATTCTTGGTGGGGGATTTTGAGATGTGGAATTCCCCCTAAACAAACCCTTCTGGACAATATTGACCACCAAGAGTCTTATCTGTAGAAGAAACAAATTACTTCAGCCCAGTGATTAAGATTGTTGAACTAGCTGTCTTGCTGCCTCAGTTCAGTGACTTTCTTTTTATGAAGGACAGGCAGGGCCATCTTGTTCTAGGACAGGTGGACAAAAGACTCGGGCCTGCTTTCAGGGTTTGCTTCCTTGTTCCATCGCACATACATCTGTTTTCTTTGGCTCCTCTTGCACACTTAGGCTAATATCTGTCTAGTTGCCTTAAAACTACCACCACACTTGTACCAACGGTGCTGAGGACTGGATGCCAGAAGTGTCCTTAGAGTTTTCCCCTGAATGGGGATGCTTCAATAACCTCTCACGTCAAAAAGATGGACTTTCTCATTTGTTTCCTCTCCCTGCTGCTTGTGATTGAAGTCTTACGTGGATGTAATTGGTTGGTGAGTACTAGATGTCATTACCGGACAAAGGAAGCTAGGAAAGTGAGTTCTGAATTCTGTTTTGGGAATGAAGCATCCATGATGTAGTCAGATTTCCAAATACAGGCAAGAGAGGCAGAAGTTCTAGGTGGCCATCAGCACAACAATGACTATCATATTCTTCTTTTAAAAAGAGAGAATGTTTGAGTTCGGACAGGACATTCCCCCTCCACCCCGAGGGTAATAGAGACCTAGCTACTGGAGCCATTGTTGACTCCCAGTGTGCAAATTCACCTGGTGCTGAAATTGGGAGTGGAGCCAGGACTTGAACCTAAGCACTGCATTATGGGATTTGGACGTCATCCTGTGTAGTATCTTGATTGCCTCATCAATTCTTTCCCCTACCCGTTACATTTTTAAAATGTGTATGGCCCTTTTACAGGAACTGCTTATGAGGGCTTCAGTGTTATTTTTAGGGTTTTGGTTAATGATGATCTTTTAAATCAAAATACCTCTTCTCAGAAAACCATGGAAGAGATAGCTTTGTGGGCCGAATGCTGTAATCTGGAGAGCCTACAAGGACACTTGCACACATAGGCAAATGAGATTGTGCATTTTTCTCATCTTAAAATGGAATGGTGAGAGAAGAATGAAATATGATTGAAGGTAAACAATAAAGGAAGGTCCTATTTTCTTATCATCAGATGTTAGAAGCAGTAAAGTGGAAAGGCCTGCTGTATCGAGTTACTTCCAGTGTTGGTTTTGAGTTTTAGCCACATAGTACTTACCTGTACTTAAGAAGAATTTTTCAGCCTCAATATTTTCTGTTAACATATTAAGCCTGTAATTTGTCAGTCTTTTTGCTCATTGTCTGAATCTTTTTCCCTTTATTCCTCATAGACTTATCTGCCAAATTAGGACTCCACCAAACCACTTTGTAATTAGGTATGTTTGTAACTGAATCAGCGGATGAAGTGTTTTCCCAGGTGGATCTGAACATCCCCTGAGGATATTTATAGAACATCAGTTGTGAAGGGCTGTAATTTGAATTAAATATTTTTCCCTTATATTTGTCTTTCTGATTATAAATTTTTCCTTTTTATGTCTGTTTTTCCATAGTTAACTCTTATATAGCTTACCAGATTTAAAGTGAAATAAGGAGAAATCTGGCTGGAGCACAGGTCATGTCAAGCTAGGCTCTTATACCTAGTGGTTTGCATGAGCCAGGGGTGGGAACAGACTGAGCAGGGCCAGGTTCCATCAGCCACCAGTGAGAATCAGGATGGGAGGAAGGCTGAGTCAGGCCAGGCTACAGCATCTAAGGCAAAGGCCAAGACAGGGCTATGCCAAGCTGAGTCAGAGCAACCACTGGCACGCGCAAGATCTATGGCTGGAAACAGGCCTGATTGGGGAGCTAAGGGTTCATCTTGGCTGGGTTGGGGTTCCCATTAGTGAGTGCGGGTGCTGGAGTGGCTGCTGTGTTGTGGTCTGGATATAGCTACAGTGTTCCTCGGCACAAGTTGAACTGGGATTGGGTGCACCAAACTGGCCTAGACTCCAGCACCAGCTGGTGTAGGATGTAGGTGTAGGATGGGCTAGGCTAGGTATCTGCCCCTACTAAGCCATGTGTGAACTGTGTGTGGGTGTGGACCAGCTTTGGCTGGGCTGAAACAACCAATAGTAAGGACCAGAATGGGTTGAAGGCTAGTCAGGAAAGGCCACTGTTACTGCCAGGACAGGAGATAGGCTAAGTAGGGCTGGCCCATGCACTCACTGGTGTGTGCAAGATCTGACATTGGGAGAGGTTCTGATGGAGGAGCTTGGGAAATTCCCCTGTCGGGACATAGTCCCTGCAGGTGAGTGCAAGAAGCACGATAGGGAGAAGCCCAGTCCAACTCAGCCCAGGAAATGGTACCCACTGGTATACATTTGGCACAGATTGGGGGAGGACCAGGCTGAACCAGTTCACATCACCCTCTGCGAATCCGAGCATCAGACCAGAGTGTGGATTAGGCCAGGCTCAGTCACAACACTTACCAATATATATTTAGCTGGGCTTGGGTGTCAGCTGGGCTGGACTAGGCTGTAACCCCTACCAGCGTGAGCTGGGATTGGGGGTGGGCCAGGATGGGTGGGGATGGACCGAACTGGGCTACAGCACCCACTGGCAAATGCCGAGATGAGGTGGGCCATGCCAGACTGGGTAACAGCACCCAACCAGCACATGTGAGAACCAGGGGAGAAGGGGCAAAGCTGATGGGGGAGTGTGGATGGCTCCCCTGCTGAACCATCACTTCCACTGGAGAGTGTGAGTTGGGATGGGGGCAGACCAGACCAAGCAGGGCTACAATACCTGTGGGCATCATGTGAGCTATATCAGGGAAAAGCCAGGCTGGACTGACTGTTCCTACTGGTGCAAGCATTAATTAGAGTGAGTGAGGGTTGCTGGGGATTTATCGCCAACATCAGTTGGCAGATGCTGGCACAGGGGGCTAATTCTGTTAAGCAGTAGAACCACCAGGAGCGTGCATGATCCAGGAAAGGGAGTGGGCCCAGTAGGGAAATAGGGGCACCCCCCTCTTGGGTTACCACTCCCACTGGAGAGCATGAAAACCAGGACAGGGGCAGGGGTGACTAGACAGAATGGTACCCACCAGCATGTGTGTGGGCTGGATAGTGGGGCTGGTTGGGTTGAATTAGGTTTCAATGCCCTTTGACATGTATGAGTGCTTAATGGGATATGGGACAGATTGGACTAGTCTGCTGTACATATTGGCAGGCATGGAAACCAGGGTAGGCAGTAGGCCTAGTGGGGGTTATTGAGAGTCGCCCTGACTAGGTTGCAGCTCCCACTGGTTTGTGTAGGGCCAAGTGTGTGGTGGGCAGGATCAGGCTGGACTGCAACACCCATTGGTTCGTGTGGAAGACAGGGCTGGAAACAGAACTGACCCAGGAATTACAATGACCAGCTGATTGGGGCAACAGAATGTGCAGGACCCTGTATTGGCGTGCACACACAAGAATCAGGTCTGGGCACTGGACTTTATGCTTGGTAAATACTTCCAATGAAAGAACCTCAACTGAATTTGAACTGTGGTAAAGCAGCAAGGTGGAGAAATCCACCATGGGGAGAAGGTTCGGGGAGGGGTGGGGGGAATCCCAGTGCCCATAACACTGTGTCACATAATGCAATGCAATTAATAAAATAAAATTAAAAAAAAAAAAGAATCAGGTCTGGGATCACCTCAGATGAAGTTTCTTTGGGGATCCCTCCAACTGAACTGCTGATCTCAGAACCCCAACCATGAAGAGAAGTGCAGGTTCCATGGTCTGACCATGGAGTGTGTGTGTCAAAACTGAGCCTTCTCAGAGGCTCAGACAGAGCAGTAGACAGCATAACCAGGTGCACATGGAGGATATGGTAGTGCATCAGAACCTGCAGAGGATACCTGGTACCAGGACAGAGGATGGAGGACAGAACAAATCCATCATCTACTCCAGCCATGTGCTGGCAGTGAAAATCTGGGCAAATGGAGACTCTAAGTTGGACTATGTCAGGCAGTAGATTCTGGACAGATTTCATTGTGCAATTCATAACTGTTGAACTATCAAAACCACTTGAGCAGTGGCCTCGGAGCATGTCCCACGCTGGGCACCCTGTTGAGGGTGGGAAGCTGGGTGGGGCTTCTCCCTTTATCTCCCACCTTCTCCCAGACACAGGAAAAAAAAAAGAGAGAGAGAATATGGAAACAATGGTCTTATCCACTTTCCTGTAGCCCTTGACCCTTTGTGCCCTCATCAACTATGTAAAGATTATCAAAATAAAAAATGGTTTAAAAAAATAAATAAAGTGAAACCTATTTTAAAATATTCAACATGTGTTCTGTGATATTTGTGAAAAGTGGTAGTTTGTTTTTTTTTTTCTTAACTTGAAATACAAGGAAGTGTGTCAGATGTATCATTAAATATAGGGGAAGTCTAACTTCCCTTTGGATAACTGACTTGCCTATCTTACTGGATGAATGCTGAATGCTTTACTGTAGAATACTCATCGCCGTATTCCACAGATGACATCACTTCCCCAGGGCCAGTGAATAGATGGTTTATTAAGTTTGTTTTAGGACCTGTCTGTTCATTATTTCTTTAGGGCTGTATCAGTAGCATCCCTTGATCCACTTCTGAACAAGTTGATAAATAAGGGAATAAGACACATAGGAAATAAGTCTGTACTTTTTTAAGCTAATAAGAACTGATTTGGAGAATGCCAAGTTTAATGAGAGGGCCAAAGAGGTCAGTGAATATTGAACCAGAGAATCAGGCAAGCTTGCCCAGGTTATAATTCTCTAATAGCCAATTAAAGAAGCCTCATCTTCATTCCTTTACAGAGAAAGTAAAGGGTTGGGCTGAGGCAGACTGAAATGAGTGGACAGCATTCACTTCGCAGCATCATCAGTAGCGGTCTAGCAGTCAGCCTTTCATCACTGCAATGAAGTACCTGAGGCAGCCTAACTTTATAAAGAGGCTTATTTTGGTTTGCAGTTCCAGAAATTTACAGTCTACGATCAGGTGGACACCATTGGTTTAACCTGTGCTGATGCCATTCTGGCTGATAGAATTCTGAGCTGGCATGGGGTATTGCATGGCAGGAGACAAGGAGCCACACATCATAATGTGTGTAGTCCATGATAGAAATGCTTGGATTTAATCATGGAGACTCCAATCCAACCACCTACAAATCAAATTAAGTATGGAAAAAGGAATTGTATTATTTGTTATATTATAGATGGGGACTTATCATTTTTTAAAAGATTTATTTTATATATATTTTTTTTTTGCAAAGTCATATATAGAGAGGAGGAGAGACAGAGAGAAAAATCTTCTATGCATTGATTCACTCCCCAAGCAGCTGCAGTGGCTGGAGGCTAAGCTAATCTGAAGCCAGGAGCCTGGAACCTCTTCCAGGTCTTCGATGCAGGTGCAGGGTCCCAAGGCTTTGGGCTGTCCTCCACTGCTTTTCCAGGCCACAGGTAGGGAGCTGAATGGGAAGCAGGGCTGCCGAGATTAGAACTGGTGCCTATATGGGAACCCGGCATGTGCAAAGTGAGGACTTGGCTGCTAGGCTACTGTGCTGGGACCTATCATTTTTATTTCTTCAATTTTTTATTAAATTTATTATTTTACTTGAAAGAATTACAGAGACTGAGAGAGACAAGGAACCACAGTGGCTGCTCTGAAACCTGGAGCCAGGAGTTTCTTCCAGATCTCTCAGATAGGTGCAGGAGCACATGCATCAGGCCTTCTTTGGCTGGTTTCCCAGACCGGAAGCAGGGAGTTGGGTAAGAAGTGGAGCAGCTGGAAGAAGAACTAGTGCCCATGAAATGTTGGTGCTGCAGTCAGAGGGTTAGTCCACTAAATCACTGTGCTGGTCCTTTGCCATTTTAAAAAATGTGGTTACTAGGAAGAGAAGTGCATAGGCAAACAGCCATGAAAGAGCTTTCTCTTGCATGAATTCTCTAGTTTTTTTCTAACCAGTGAATTAGGGAAAAAAGACCAAAGTCTTTGTCAACTAATGGAAGATATTGAGAGCTGATCTGACACACTCATCTTTCCTAAATGCTCATGAGTACTAGCGATGGGAGGTAGCTTCAGAAGTTGAAATATCTTCTGTATATTGGACAAAATAAGTAATATCCTAGAAGGAAAGCTTTTCCCCAATCCTCCCTTAGTTTCTTTTAGTTCATGCTTTGCTAGTAAAACCAGAAATTTCCCCTCCTTCAGTGCTAATCTTGTGGGAATCTATTTTCTCTTGATTTTTAAAAATTTTTATTTAAAAATTTTATTTAAAAATTTACATAATTGATTAAGGCGGGAAGGGTCGAGGATTAGAAGAGAGTGGGTGAGACCATTGTTTCCGAATTTTCTTTTTCTTCTTCCTGTATCTTTGG